CAGGAAGAAGCAAATGATTTATGCAAATAATCTAAACAATTTGGCATAATCGAAAGATACGATGCATCGACATGTCCGTAACATTTCTCTTGATATGCTAAGAGTTGCTCTTGAGAATGCATTGCATACAGTGCCCCCTGGTGATGAGTTTTTGAACTTTTGTTTTTCGCGAAAAATAAATTCCCATGACCGCCTTCACAAGATTACCAACTTTGATAACATTTCATCCAGAAGTTTTCTTTTATAATTGTTTCAAAATGGAACTTTAATTATAACCACCCTGTATATTTACTGTGGAAACTTGTATTTCGATTGTTGTCACGTTAGCCAGGTCAAGAAAATTATTAGGTAAATGGTAGTTGGTTCTAGAATTATATAAGTAAGTTTTTTATCTGAAATACTTTAATGCAATTTATCTTTACTTATACGTAGAGTATGCCAGTTAATACGGTGATTTGGCAACACAGAATGGGCCATATAATATAAGCACACAGGCTGTAAAGTAAATTTATTCGTTATATTATAGACCGCTAGACAATTAGAATTTCTGTCTTGTATCTCTTTCCTTTAAAAGTATTTGAAAGCGAAAATTCTGCAAAACTTCACCCAAACGCAAAATCTAAGAAAATGCAGAAAAATAGCTCATATTTCTGTAGCCCTGTTACACGATTTGATAAAAAGTATTGTACTTATATTAGTATGCTATCTGCTATGTTACATCAAGATAGTACTGCATCTTTCAGTATTCACAGAGCACTCGTAATTTCCTATTATTGCAGTCTATGTATATATTCTTTATACAGTGTGTCTATAAAAGTCCTTAGGTGGTTTTCATTTTCGTATCATTGCCGCCCAGATGGGATAGTAGATAGTGGCTCTAATTGCCGTACCGAAGGGATGGGATTGGAATCCGAAGGCATGGATGTTTGTAAATGTATAGTCAGTGACGTACATGGACCTTTCCTACCTCCATGGTGACGTAGCTAGGGTGGGGCATGGAGGTAGGAAGTAAGATGGAGTCGCCCTAAACAAGTTTCTCCCGTACCCTGCTTTGAAGCACCGGCGATCCCTACGTGGTGACCAAAACATTGGGTCATTTACCATTAAGTTCAATGGGATTTGACGCGTTCGGATGTAAATATTTTGTAATTACGTCGTAAATATACATATAAATGTATATATTTTCTTTTTCTACAACACTTCAGAGTCCTAAGTATGTGAAAACAACATATTTTTAAACAACATTTCATTCTGAACGGAATTAAATGCTATACTTTTCACAGGACAGTTTTCTCAGAATGGTTTAATTTGAATGAAATATTTTCACAAGTTATCGTTAATTGCATTAGAAAAAAAAATTAAGGTAATTCGATTTTATTTGGTTAAGGTACAAAAATTAAGATCAAAGTTTATTGTATTATTAATATTAAAATTATGCATTATTTCTTTTCTATTTATAAAGCTTCTTCCTAAAATACTTTCTTAAATATGACATGATTTTTTGGCTTCTGAGGCATCTTTTAAATCGCAAAATGTAAGTCAATTTATAATTAATGCTCTATTCGGTTCATTTTAATTAAATAGGTATTAAATAGTACTTGACTTTCTCTGAACATTTCTGAAAGGGAATAAAATAAGTTTTTTTTTTTTTTTTTTTTTTTTTTTTTTTTAGTATTATTTAAAATTTGTAACTGAGTTATTATAAAATGTAAGGGGAATAATTCTTTTAATTATACTTATCAGATTTTCTTTTATCCTTCATTTCAACAATACATATTCCAAAATTCTTTATTAGTTTCTTAAGTGCGCATCTCATAGCATTTGCTTTACAATACCTTTTAACAGATTGCTTTCCAATACGAACAATTCTTGCTTAAATAGTTTTATAACGTATTTGTCAACAGGATTTCAATTTATGTTTACAATTCAATATTAAGGTTATATATTTAGATAACATTTATAATCATTATAAATTAGATACATTTAATAATTAGATTTCTTCACAGTACTTTCACAGTTGTTTATAAGTGAAATAAATTCTTCATTTCAAATACATTTATAAATAATTTAATGAATATTTAAGTATTTTGTCAAAGGCAGAGATACATGCTTTTTGCAAGCACATGCATAAATACCCATACATATTTCCTATTTTTCATTTCCGGCATGTGCAAATCTTTAATTTCTGTGCATTCACTATATTTTTCGTGTAAAGTAATTTACACTAATTTAGCATACACCCGAAAGTTTTACATAAAAAATATATATGAATATAATTTGAATGAAAATTATAATTATTATTTTTAATACCCACTCAAAGGTCAGTTTTTCTTCAAAATTCCTCCACGATGGCATCTTTCTCTTTAGGCAGATAGCCCTTGCATGCGTTACTCTATTTAATAAAAACTTAATCTGACCTATGTGCCTAATTACAAAATATTTTAACATACATAATTTTTTATATTTATAAAACGTGTAAGCCCAAAGTGATTATTTTTCAGATATATAAAATTAAAACGATGGGTTTAAAATGAGCAGCAGTAAAGCCTCTCCTCTAAAAATTTTAAAAGTTACATGTTACAATAATATATGGATGTGAAAAAAATTTGTTTTATTTAAAACATTTTGACGCTTGGAAAATAAAATAAAAGTAGCGAATACTCTATCAAGGGTATCGAAAGACGTATACAATTTTAAATGTACCGTAAGGTATTTTTCATTCTTTAAGCATAACATTTTTCTTAAAATCTATATTTTTGTAGTGCAACAGCTTATAATTTTATAAAACAAATTCATAATCAAAATCGCTGTTGTTAGTTATCGAAAATAACCAAGATGTGATTTTTGCGTAAATGTCACTAAACTATACAAATTGCTATTATCCATCACACTATGAATGTTTCTTTCATGCGAAAGTGTCCCCTTTTTCGATTTGTATGGAACTGTCGTGTGTCGAAATACTATCAGAATCTTGTCAAGCGAGCTTCTGAATGTAAACAAAGAACACCCCATCTGGTGACCCAAGCTTCAAAGCAGTGCTTCACTTTTAGCGCGGGTTGGCCCCTCCTCCCTTTCCTACCTCCATGGGGTGGGGCAAGGGGAGACATCTGTCCCCGGGCGCAGAATCCAGGGAGCGCGAAATTAATGTTACGAAATTTTAAAATGAACTTCTTTTCAATTCTTGGCACACAGAAAGGGGCGGATATTCTTCAGTTGTCCCCGGACGCTGAAAACCCTAGCCACGCCTCTGTGTATAGTGTCTTTACAGCATGGGTTAGAATGAAGTATAACCTTACAACGGGAGCCAAACTTTTGTGATTTGTTTTTTATAATAAATATAAGATAATTTTATAATGAATATAAATATAAAATATCTGATGTGTGCACCACATGACTTGTACGGAATATTAAATTATACGCATTTTTTCTTGCATTTCATTTAAATTTATTGGATTGAATTGCACTCTTTAAAATTCACTGTATTTGTTTACCATAGCGACACCCTGGCGCTATATTCACTTAACATTTCATTCTTTTTATAAGTCAGAATGCACAAAATTTATTCATCTGAAGGATTATCTAATTGTTGCCACATTTTCTATTCAAATATTATAATAAATCTAAAACGATGTATAAAAGAAATTAAACACACACACACAAAAAAAAAAAAAAAGTTTTTCACAGACGATTCAGTATTTCTCATTCAACTAATTCAGTCCTCACTTCTCTATAAAGCAAAAATACATAAAAAACTCAAAATATCTATATTAAAAATTACGAAGTAAATCTTAAACATTTATTTCCTCGAAAAAACTCTAGAATGCAGTAAGCACGATTTAATTCGCAATAATAAAAAAAGGCGTTATCTTTGTTGTTGCGAAGCTTAGTTTCTCTAGAATGACAACAAATCACTATTCTGCCAACTTTCAAATGTAAACAAACATGGCCGCCATACAAAAATAATTAAGCTTAGCGGCACTTAAACAACTTTTAAATTGTTGATAATTCTACAAATATTGCATACAGATTTAAAGTCATAAAAACCTTAACCGTAAGATAAAAACAACATAATTCAATCATTTTTTAAAGCAAAAATTGCACAATTTACAAACATATAAGAATTAAAAAACTGAAATCAACAGATCAAGAAACTGAGCCGAGCAACAGATTTGGTGCGGCCGATTGCAACCAAAATATGAGGTGCACAACTACATATCATAGCAGTCCTATATACAAAATTTCAACGTTCTGAGGCTACTCGTTTTTTGAATGATGCAAAATGCATACGTACGCACAGACGCCACAAAAAAAAATTCTTTTCAGAATTCATATTAAATTAGTTTTATAATTTTTGGGGAGGAAAAGAGTCCTTTATTCTGTCTTTACGTACAGATGTCACGCAAATATCGTTAAATTGCATTCGATAGCGGTGAAAATGGACATTTTCGTTAAAATATGATGCCTGAAACTTTCGCGATTGCAATACTTCCTCTTTACTTCGTACAAGGAAGTAAAAATGCTTTTACTTAAGAACTCCGGTCATTAGGAGTATAAATCTACGACCAACGGTTGCGAAAATAAAGGCCACACAAAGACTTTTATGTATATGGTGTATATTTGTAGCTCAAGGAAATTTCAAATTTAAGCAAAGTGCGATAGAATTGAAGCATATTTTTAGGAATATTTACAATTTAATGAATATTATATTTTGAATAACTGTAAGTTACCTTCAATCAAAATACTCTGCATCTTTTAATCGAAACCGTGCGTATTATTTTGATCACAAGTTGCAAAGTAATAGTTATAATTTATTCCAAGAAAAAGAAACATACTTTCTTAATGCACCGAAATTAATAAAGACAATGCAACGTATTACTTTTCGGATCAACATATGTCTGAGATTCAGGACACCATCACTGTAATTCAGTAATATACGTAAAAATGCATACGAATAATGAAGTATTTCTTTAATTCTGAGGGATAAAAACTAGAATAGTCACCTGGTCCCAATCACTCCTGATCTACTCATTGCTGCTCTCTGTTCTGTAGGATTTTTCAATGGTGGCAAGTATGTAACGAAACCTCCGGTAGGAACAGGTGGTTCCTCGCATGCATCCACTGAAAAATGAAGAATAAATAATGAGAGCAAATAAATAAATCAAATTTATTACATATAAAGTATTTGAATTCTCTGTGAAATATAATTACTATAATATAGCTTGAATTTACTTGCTTTTTAGATTTCATGCTTATCGCTCAGATAACAAAATTCGCTGCATTTGTTTTCAACCATTATTTCTTTTATAGCTTTTTGTTCACTGTTGCCTTCTATTTTTATTGGTTTCGATGTTGTCATTAGTTTTAATTATGAACTATTCATCTTATAGATTTAAAGAATTATTGATGAAAGATTAATATAAATAATTCTGATTTTAATTAGTTCTTTTATTATTATTAAAGATTCTTTGTCTCTGAGGGACTGTTGTTTTCGTTTTGGCATTTTGCGTTGAAACCTTTAAAAAACTATACCACTTTTCAAATCATCGCCACCCAATATTATCGCCCTGTATTATATTTAAAGAAATTAAATAATGAAGAATCAGCATAAATGTATATATGTTTCTCGCATTGTGATAAAACAACAGTACCTCGAGCCATCTCATTTTGAATAACATAATCCTACTGCGAATATGGGCATGTGGAAGCCCAAATATGAAATTTGGAATTTGCTTTATGATCGATTTCCTCTTTCTTAAAACTTTAACGAATTTTTGATTACAAACTCGAGGATTTCAAAGCGAGCCATGGCAACGTTGTACAGAAAAAAAAAAAAAAAAATTATCTCCAGCGCGCGAGACTGTGTATCGGAAATTCTAAAGATAGGCTCAAATTAAAATTATTTTGCGATACTGCTCTTGAACTGAATTTTATGGTTAAGTGAAAAGAACATGATCTTTAATAAATAAAGGTAACACACAAAATCTTTAAAAAAAAACGCCCCTTTGAACGTAATTTAAAATCTGAAACCTTTCAGATATTTTAAATTTTTTTCTCTCTCTTTTTAATGCTTTTGATTTATTTGTAATGTCTAGTGTTCTTAGCGATCACAAACTGATTAGACGTTAATCAAACTGTTTAAGGTACAACCTTAAATACGACAAAGGCCAGAGAAAGCGTATAATGACTCTCCTTTTCAGCTCTTCATCTTCTCAAGCAGTAACGGAAATAAAATCTCTGAAATATTTGTGTCAACTGAAGAAATCTTATGTATGTCACTGTATCATAATTTAATTAATATTCGTATTTTCGTATTCGATGGAGTTGTGCGAAGAAATAGTAAGAACATGAAACTGTTTAAATCTCTTTGTAATTCCTTAAAATACTCTGTACATCTGTACAGTGTGCCCTAAATTTAATTTAGTATACGACATCTCGTGATTCTTCGCCTTACTAGTAACCAAGTGGATAAGACGGTCATTAGACAAGAGATCAAATCCCGTCCCTGAAATAGGGATGGCTGCATTCTGGAGTGATCAGGATATTTTGGAATCATGGGACATGAAAATTAAGCAATGCCCTCGCCGGGACTCGAACCTCAGAACTCTCGAATACGCTCCGAGTGTGCTTACTACTACACCACGAAGGCATGCTAAGAAGGCGGGGAAAATACCTTATATACTCTCCCTTTTAAAAGGCGACGGGGGTTTAGGGGACCCAATCGCCAAATCCTGGTGGTGAAGAATCATCATTCACCACATTTTAGTTCGGGCGCCACTTGAGACATTAGTATTTTTTTGAAGCAGGAGTAATGACAAATGAGCAATGCCCTCGCCGGGACTCGAACCTCCTACCTCTCGAATACGCGACCAGTGTGCTGACCATTACACCACGAAGACATGCTAAAAATCCTGATGTCTCTATAGTGGCGCCCGAACTAAAAGTGTGGCGGATGATGATTCTCCACCACCAGGATTTGGCGATTGGATCTCCTCTCCCGCCTTCTTAGCATGCCTTCGTGGTGTAATGGCCAGCACGCTCGGTGCGTATTCGAGAGGTCCGAGGTTTGAGCCCCGGGAGGGCATTGCTCATTTTTCATGTCTCCTGCTTCAAAAATATCTTAATGTCTCTGCGGCATGAGCATTTTTATGGTTTATCTTTAGTACAAAATAGGATGTATAGCTTTGTTTTCGTATATCATGATGTGAATTTGAGATACTTCCCTTTTTTAAGCGTTTTATGAAGAACTTTAGTCCTGTACATGGAATCCTTTCCCTTAGAGAGATAAACATAGTCAACTTTACTATAATGCAATAAATCCGAATTATTTTTGCTTTTCTAAGCATCCAAGTGACTAGCTCTATATGAAAAATACCGCTCGGAGAGGACCATTTCCTCCTGTCCACTCTTTCTGGCTATGCCATTGCCCCTTAATGGATTGCGACCTTGATTCCCAGCCCAAAGCCAGATTAATCCATCGGTGATACATCGAGTGCCTTTCTTGTCATACGTCGGACAAAGGAATAAACGAAAAAAAAAAAAAAATGGGACAGGTAGCATAGGTGATAGCATAATACAACGTATAGGATATGCATTCCAGTCTTGTCTTGATGCATAAAACAGCTTTAATTGTATAATCCCCATAAAAAATATAATATCGATCTGGTTGTATGGTTTATCCTAAAGTTTTTAACAGTTATTTTAAGTTAAAGCTCCTTTCCTATCTCTCTTAATTTCAGCTTACAATTTCCTATCAGAATGTGATTTTAGAATCACGTTTAATGCAAATGAACATGATAGTTCATACACATGATAGAACACGATAGTAAGAGTAGTATTTAAATCGAAGTTCCACTGACTCCGAGAGACAGCCTCAGAGTTTCTAACTAGCACGCGCTTGCCTTTCGGCCACGTCTCTCTAAGCTGTTTCTACGCTCGGCCGTATTACTCGCCCTTGATAGCTCTGCTAGCTAATTCGATATTTAGAGGCCAACTACTTAGAATTGTGATTGCTACGGCTATCAGTTAAGTCTTATTTATTACTATTTTGAGTTCAAGGCCAAGTGGAGGCTTTGCTGTACGCCTGGAAAAATGGGCCAACTGTTCATTCGTATTTTTAGCAATGAAGGGGTAATTAACCCTTCTATAATTTACATTTCTATTACTGAACTTGAGCGATTATTCGCTTAGCTGTTCACTAGGTTCTTCCACATTTAAGTGTTAAATAAAAGGGTGGGACCGTACATGATAATAATGGTTCTAAAAATCAGTGTAATTGGTGTTTGTGAGTTCTTTCTTTTGTATAAAAATCTGATTTTCTAACGGCACTGACTCATTTTCCCTAACCGTAGTACTCATATCATATGATGCGATAAAACGTTTAGCCATATTTTTTACTCCTAGTGTAGCTAAAACGAAAATTATAATTCACGGAAAGTTTAAGATACAGGAAGCCATTATAAAATTTCATGTATATAGCAAGATGAATGCAAGCGTCGAATATCTTTATTGCATCTAACATCTTTCAGAAGCGTTATTTTGTTTATTACTTCTACACGTTGTAAGTTTCGTTGTAAGATTCTCACTAGTGTATTTCTCAGTTACTGTAAAAAGTGACGAATCTTAAGAACTAGTTAGCGAATAATCGCTTAAGTCCGTGTAATAAAAAACAACAAGATGGAAGGGTAACTAACCTTTTATTATCCCAATAAGATTTAACAAAATTCCGTCTTGGAGTGTACCATCAAAGCCGGCACTTGGGCTTGAACTCAAGAGACTAAGAATTTAACTAAAACTAAGATTAACTAAAGAAATATAGCCGAAGCTATCAAGCTTCAAATCGAGTTGGCCCCTTAACTCTATTTGACTACGAAGCTATCAAGGGCCTGAGTACGGCCGAGCGTAATAACAGCTTTGAGAGAGAAGAGAGTAGCCAAAAGGCAGACGCGCACAAATCAGAAACTCTGATTCTCTCTAACTCTGTAAGTACTGTATACTTCGCGGTTTAAATACCGCTCCTCCTCATTAAGTATTCAGAGTGATTCCAGATCTACGTTCTGGCTGGAAGTAGTAAGTTGAAGTTAAGAATTTGACAGGAAAGGAACTTAAAATTTAACTGTTAATAAAATTAACATAATTCTTGCATCATGATTTGTGAATTGGTATTACTCACCTTTTACGCAAGTTGGCTTGCTCTCAGACCAGCTACCTTTTGCTGTACAAGATATGATATCTGCACCCTTTAAATAATAAAGTGGTTCACATTTGTATTCTACGGAAGATCCGACATAGTAGACGCCTTCAATGCGGCCAATGGGTTCGCTATATCCATTAAACAAAGGACCTGGATCTTCGCACATTGCTACAAGAAAATATAAATAATCGTCATTTATAAACAGAAAAATGTCATGTACAAACAAACAATACCATAATAATTTCCCCCGTACTGTTAGTCTTTGGGGTATTCATTACTCTCCAAAAAGTACATTTCGGGTAGTACCACTTTTATATGTTACTAATTAAAACCAAAGATCTGCATAAAAATATTTCAGTGCATCTCAAGCCGTCTAACAGGAATCGCAATCAGCACTATCGTTACGAATAAGGAATCAGTACTTATAATAATGCATATACCTTCAATTCGCGGCCCATCTAGTGTAATGTATTCTAAATTACTGCAGTTAAAATTTCATATTAATTAAGAAGAAAAAGTATGTACATACATTGGTTATCGTTAATTAAAGGAAAATCACAAAAATGACGATTAATCAAAAGATTACATGTATAATTTAATGTATAATTTAATAACACATGGTAAGGTATAAAATAACATGAAAGGAAATTGCCAGTCAATTATGGTGCGCTAAAAATTGCTAATTTTTTTTCAGTCTTTTCTCAACTCATCGTATCAATGTTCAGTTTTCTTACTAAAATGGCATCAGAAAACTTTTTTTTAAAATCTTTTTATTATTAACGTTTTCTGTGTTTGCTTTATATGTTAAATATCACGTTCTTGATGTTTACGTCACATAAAATTCGGTTCAATAACAAAATCACAAAATATTTAAAAATGTCATGTCTTTAGAATTTCCGATAGTCTCTCGCGAAAGTCTCGCGCGCTGGAGATAAAAATGTTCAATGGTGCCATTGCTCGCTTTGAAATCGCTGAGTATATGAATCAAAAATTTGTTACAGTGTTAGAAAATATGAAATAGATAATAAAATTAATTTGAAATTCAAAATTCGGGCTTCCAAGTGCCATGTTCGGGTGGAGGACTACGTTCTTCTAAAATTGGATGGATCTAGGTACCATTGTTTTTTCACAGTGCGAGAAACATACATACATTTATGCAGATTCTTCATTATTAATTTCTTTAAATATAATACAGGGAAATAATATTTGGTGGCAACAATTTGAAAAGTGACACGACGCAAAATTCCGTTTCGAAACTAATTCTCCTTTCGGTACAAACGACCTTTTTGGGTTGCTTAAAAAAAAAAAAAAATCTAGTGTCTTTCCATATTAAAAAAAAATAAATAAATAAAATCTGAAAGGTTTCAGATTTTAAATTACGTCCAAAGGGGCGTTTTTTTAACGCTTTGTGTGTTACCTTTATTTATTAAATATCATGTTCTTCGCACTTAAACCATAAAATTCAGTTCAACAGCAATGTCGCAAAATAATTTTTAAATGAGCCTATCTTTAGAATTTCCGATACACAGTTCTGCGCGCTGGAGATAAAAAGGGTTTTTTTCTCCGGTAGAGTATTGCCATTGCTCGCTTTTAAATCGTTGAGTTTGTTAATCAAAAATTCGTTAAAGTTTTACAAAATATAAAATCGATCGCAGTAGGATTACGCCATTCAAAATTGGGTGGCTCTAGGTACCGTTGTTTTATCATAATGCAAGAAACATACGTGCATTGATGCAGATTTTTCATTATTTAATTTCTTCAAATATAATGTAGGACTCTAACAGTCAATGGCAACAATTTAAAAAGTGATACGCTGTTTATAGTGATTAGACTCAAAATCGCAAAACGAAAATAATAGTCCTTCAGGGACAAATCTCCTTTGGACTAATAAAAATAAAGCTAACGTAATTTATATATAAATTGAAGCAGCATACCTAAAGAATAGGCTTCAGATTTTCTTATACAAATGAAGTTCAAAAGTTCATCGCAGATGCTCTCGTTTTTCTTGAATTCCAAATCGGTGATGGATGAAACTGCGCAGAGGCCTTTCCCAGATTCTCCTGCGTTATTAACTACAGTTCTTATAGCATCGTGGTCGGTTGTTGACCAAACAGATTTTATTCCTAAAACAAAATAAATTACTTAGAAATTTTGTGAGTGTTAAATTTCAAAATACACAACAGTGGGATCATGCCACACTAGCAAAAAGGGAAATATTTGATTATCATACCATTCAAAATGTATAATACAATTTGAATAACTGGTAAAATAACAAAAAAGGAGAACGGTTTTCGCTTCGATTTTCAAATGTAATTGAAGAAAGTGCCAAAGCATTCAAATATTATCCGAAATTGGATTGCTTGGAAAACTTGTTATCATTCGAATAATCTTTCCGACACTAAAATACAGATGAACCTTTGTAATGACACTCATTCTAGACTGTAATGGGGATACGGTTGTTTATTACGCAGAAAACCTAGAAGATCATAAGGAAAATCTAATACTTAGTGCCGGATCCTATTTAAATGCAGTTGTCTCAGACTGATGGCCCGCGAACACATTTTATTTATGCATTTGTTGCAATTACAATATTGCAAAGATTTCCGTCATTTGAAGTCCGAGTTCCCATTATTTACATTACCTTAAAAAGGAACATAAATAATGCAAAATATATTAATAAAGCCAATTAAATTACACAATGGTATGAAGCCTTATTCAAAGGCCTTGATGATACAGATTTGATTAAATTTTATCCGTACTAGTTAATAAATAAATACAGCCAGCTACGAATTCTTGTGGTAAGAATAATCGCTTTGGTTAGCTATTAGCTATACATTTATACGGGAAATGCTTTTTTTCACGGTTGAAAATTAATATAAACTAAACCTGATTAACCGATGAGCATCTAAAATCTGTAATGAAGATAATTTCTAGTAAATTCTTGTTCCTAGACTTTATCAGAATTCTAACGCCATCAAGTGTGAAGCTAGAGTAAGGAAAAAAGAAATGTATAACTATTTATTTACAAACATGTGCACTTATGTGTCGAATCAAAATTTAATAAATAAGAGAGAGAGATTAGATCGTCATTATTTATTCTCAAGTTCTGTCCCACTTAGAAAATTAAGTTAAACTAAATTACTTATTGTTTAATTAAAAACATTATAATTATATGAAATTAATGTTAATCTGAAAATTTAATATTTAGCTGCCAGTACAATTTATAAAAGATACGTTTTATACGTATCTTTTATAAAACATTTGCCGAAGCCGCCCAACTGGTATAGCGGTTAGCGTCACTGACTGCCGTGCCGAAGGGCCCGGGACCGAATCCCGAAGAAGGCATGCTTGTTTGTAAATGTATAGTGTCGGTGCGGCATGGCGGCACTCTAAATTTTCGGCTAGCCGAAAGTCCTCTTGTGTGGTTTGTTGGAAGGGGAGAGGGGTAGGAGACCTTCGGACCCATTCCCACGGGGTGATCTTCATCAGATTTGGGCGCGGAACAGAGCTAAATCGCACTGTTATTTGCATGGTGCTCAAGGCTGTTGCCAAAGACTGGCGTAATGCCCTACAGTGGCGTCCGAACTAAAAAAGATGGTGGATGATGATTCTTCACCACCAGGATTTTGCGATTGGGTCCCCTAATCCCCCCAGTCGCCCTTTAAAAGGGAGAGTATATATATTTCTCCCACCTTCTTAGCATGCCTTCGTGGTGCAATGGCCAGCACACTCGACGCGTATTCGAGAAACCCGTTGTTCCAGTCCCGGCGAGGACACTTCTCATTTTTCATGTCTCCTGTTTCTAAATAACCTAATGTCTCTACAAAGTGAGCATAAGTAGCAACACAACAACAACGTTTTATAACCAACAAAAATGTTTTGCTAGTACCAAACCTTAGATTTCAGATAGGAAACATAAATATAATTTTTTTCTCCTTTGAATTATTATTATTATTGTTGTTTGTGTACGTTCTGACAAACATTTAGTCGCCAAATTTAAAATTTAGCAGAAATAATTTTTATTTGATAGAGAAAAAATATTTATTAAAAAAATAGAAAACTAAATAGGCTTATAAGTTGTTTCAGATAGTGCATTCGGCCCACTTTCAAACTGAATTCGAGGATACTGCCTTAGAGCATTCTGAGTAAGAAACAAAAAAATAAAAATTAATTTCTCCTCCATTTTGACATTCAAAGCAGTTGTTCCCTTTAGCGGTTTTGCGACAAAATCCGGTAGCCCTATAAGCAATTTACCGCAGTTTCTTCCATTGCAACTAAAGACTAGTAGGACACGTTTTAAAACTGGGTTTAAAACAAAAAACGAAAACAAGAAAAACAAAAAAATCTGAAATGTTTCAGATTTTAAATTACGTCCAGAGGGGCGTTTTTTTTTTAAACTTTTGTTTTTACAATTATTTATTAAATATCACGTTTTTCGCACTTAAACCATAAAATTCAGTTCAACAGCAATATTGAAAAATAGTTTTAAAATGAGCTTATCTTTAGAATTTCCGATACAGAGACTCGCGCGTTGGAGATAATTTTTTTTTTTTTTTTTTTTCTGTACAACGTTGCCATGCCTCGCTTTGAAATCCTCGAGTTTGTTAATCAAAAATTCGTTAAAGTTTTACAAAATATGAAATCGATCATAAAACAAATTCCAAATTTCAAATTTGGTCTTCCACATGCCCATATTCGTAGGAAGATTACGTCATTCAAAATTCGATGGCTATATATGCCGTTGTTTTATCACAATGCGAGAAATATGCATACATTTATGCAGATTTTTTCATTATTTAATTTCTTCAAATATAATGCAGGACTCTAACATTGGGTGACAACAGTTTGAAAAGTAGAACAGACATTTATAGTGAAACAAAGGAAAATCGCCAAACGAAAACTATAGTTAGTTCTTCAGGAACAAAGCCTCTTTGGACTAAAAATACCACTTTTTTCTATAAAAACATTGGAACTTATGGTTGCCAGAGTTAGCACTTTCTGAAAATTTGGCGATTTCTGGCAGTTGTATTAATATATAAGTACCAGTATTTCCACTACTAAATAGCTTAAACATGTATCTTTTACTGAGGTAAAGGCATTTTTCTTATAAATAACAATGTTAAATTCGGAACCATTACCATTAGAATTTAGCAATATTAGGAGTCTGGATTTCTCTTCTGATTCGTTAGGCATTGCTAACTGAAGTCCCATATTTGTACAAACAGCTACTGCTTCATTGTAAGAACGAAGACCCTTGGAAATATAGGCGCACGTTCTATCCAGTTTCACGAAGCCTTTTTCACAGTCTACAGAAAAAAAAAGACGAAATAATTTCTATGACTAAATAATACGTACACGTAATTCTGTACAAGTAATAATACAAAATCTTCAAATATATTGCAGGTATACTTATAGGTAATTAAAGGGTGAATTATCAAGGCTTTAATGAATTTTCCTCAGTGAGTTTACCTGACGCAAGAAAGCATTTATTAAACATAAAATTTCAACATTATTTGGATTTTTTTTTTTTTTTTTTTTTTACATTAAAAAAAATTGTTGCCTTTCAAGGAGCAGGTGTGAGACAATCCTCGAAAACGTGTATAAAAAAGGGATATAAGTATCTTTTTTTCCCTCCCCCTCCAAACAAAAGCATAAGTAAATACTTTGTGCCGTATAATGAGAGAAACATAGAAACAGTTCATAAGATAAGTTACGTAAAACAATGGGAAAGTGTTTCGCTTAGAGTTTTCGATTTAAGTCGTTTAATTACATTGTCAAATATTTGCACACAAAAAAATGTAACTAACAGATTTAACAATGAAATTTTCAGGTCGAAATCGACATGCAGTGGAACCTTGGTTTACAAAAGCTTTGGATCACTAACAAATTTTCAAAACGAAAAATATCTTGGACAATGAACTATATCTTGAGATACGAACAAGTACGCCAGTAACAATTTGATACCTCATAATACAGTGGAGAAAATGTCTTCGGAATTAAAAAAGGGAACTCGAAAATTCCCGGTTATTTGATCAGCAAAATTTTTGCTAAATGGGTGAGGTGAAAATGTTCATAAGAATGATATATAATCCTTCATTACGCCCAAAGGGGCGTTTTTTTTAACGTTTTGTACGTTACCTTTATTTATTAAATATCATGTTCTTTGCACTTAAACCATAAAATTCAGTTCAACAGCAGTATCGAAAAATAATTTTAAAATGAGCCTATCTTTAGAATTTCCGATGCACTGTCTCGCGCTGGAGATTAAAAAAAAAAAAATTTATTTTCGTACAGTATTGCCATTCCTCGCTTTGAAATAGTTCAGTTTCTTAATCAACAATTCTTTAATGTCTGAAAAAATATGAAATAGATAATAAAACAAATTCCAAATTTGGGTTTCCAGATTGCCCATATTTGCTGGAGGATTACGTTATCCAAAATTTGGATGGCTCATCTAGATATCGTTGTTTTATCACAATGCGAGAAACTTATATAGATTTATGCAGATTCTTCATTATTAAATTTCTTTAAACATGATACAGGGCTGTCATAGTTGGTGGGAACAGTTTGAAAAATAAATGAACGCAGAAAGTGAATCGACGCAAAATGCCAAAATGAAATTAATAGCCCTTGGGCTAAAAACGTTACCCTGATATTTTCATAGAATAGGAATTCCCTTTCAAACAATAACATCTCGCACCTTTGACTTTTTCCCCGTTTACGCTTACTCCTCATATTTCCTTAGTAGATATACGATAAAATTTAATTCGAGTTTTCTTATTTGTCATATGTTTAACATTGTATTAAATATTGTGTATGTGTTTGCTTTAATATTGTGTATGTGCTTGCTTTGTATTACGAATAATACAGAGTACATGTATATAGAGTACTCTTTTTTAAGCAATTATTTGGCACCGGGGAACGGATTAATTCATTTTACATGAACACCTTTAAGGAAAATTGTTTCAATTTACGAGTATTTCGGGTGACGAACTATATTATCTTCAGGAATGAACTAAGCTCATGAAACAAGTTTTCACTGTAGTGTAACTACGTTGAATCTGACCTGCAGAAAAAAAAAAAAAAAAAAAAAAAAAAAAAAAGAGTTCCTTTCGAATTAAGTTAATAAATGAAATATTATTTTAATCATAAAATTATATTATAGAAAAAACATTAACTTCTATTTGACATTCATTTCAAACAAAAAAGTTAGAGTAAAATGATTTGAGCACTTGCATTCGAAAACATAATTTGGAAGGTTAAACAAAAAAAAAAAAAAAAAAAAAAAAAAAAAAAAAAAACTTTTTGTAAATACAAAGGATGTTTACAAGCATGTAATACATATTAATATACAGGGTGTCCGAATCAAATGTATCTATTTTGAGCAGTCTATTAAAAACAAAGTTTTAGCGCTACGTAGGCGATGTTGGCCACATGTGAGAGCTGAATTCGTAGAGTTTGGTGACAATACTTTTTTCTCGCGTCTGAAGCAACTGCGCTTTTGCTGAAGGAGTCATCGCAAGAGAAATGAAGTCATCGCAAGAGAAGGCACAAATTGTTCTCTGGTATCCAGAACACGAATCCTAAGAGCATAAAAAAGTGGCACAAAACATTTTTGAAAACGGGACGTATACCGAAAAGATCCGGAGGTGATCGGCGTCCACATTATGATTCACGTGTGGAAGATGTTCAACAAGCTTTCGTTCGGAGTCCTCGTCAGTCGATCAGGCAGGCAGCTTCTGTATTATCTATGCCACTATCAACTATTCATGATGTGCTGCATCGAAAACTGAGGATGCATGCATATAAAATGCAGATTACGCAGAAACTGCAACCGAATGATGGGCCGCAGCATTTGCTGGGCAGATGTTATCTCGCTTTGAAAATAAACACGGTTCTCTAACCTCATCTCTTTTCCAGATGAAGTTATAGGACCTCTCAATTACGCGCTGAGCGTGCAGACCACTACACAACGAAGGCTCGCTAAGAAGGCGGGAGAAATACCTTATATACTCCCCCTTTCTAAAGGGCTTCTTGGGATTAGGAGACCGCAATTCGCCAAATTCTGGGTGAGGAAAATCATCATCCAATACCCTTTTATTTCGGGAGCCACTGTAGAGACATTAGGTATTTTTGGAAGCAGGCAAAATGAAAAATGAGCAACGTTTTCGCCGGAAATCGAACCACGGACCTCTGGAATACGCGCCCAGCGTGCAGACCACCACACCACGAAGGCCTGCTAAGAAGACGGGAGCAACAACATTAATAAGCACAACTGCAGAATTTGGGGTTGAGAAAATCCCCATTCACTACGCGAATTGGAACGGAGCAGCCCAAAAGACAATGTCTGATGTGCTCTATCATATGATGCAGTCATAGGACCATTTTTCTTTGCTGAGACGTCTGTGACGGCAAACATTTACCTGGACATGCTACAAAATAACGCAATACCCCAAATGCAGCATTTACAATCCACTATTATCTTCCAACAAGATGGCCCCCCCAAAGTCCTGCTATGCTGCCTCAACGTGGCGGGGGGTGTCACTGGGCGGAACGGGCGAAGTACGTCGGGAGCATAGCTCCTGGTAGGGCCACCCTAGGCGTGAAGGCCGTTCCAACATGCCCAGCTAAAGCATAGCAGGTGAAGAACCCTCAGGGCCCCAGTGACCTTTCCTCCTCTCTCTATCCTCTCCTCTTGTCTAGCTCTCTCCTATTTTTCTCCCTTGTGGTTTCCTCTTCTGGAGGTTGGGGCTCACTGTGAGATGCAGCTACTACTCTTAGTTTCTGTTCCACCATGGTGAGAATACCGCCTATGCGTTTGACGTGCATGGTGACCCGTAGGGTGGGAAAGGAGGATCCTGGCAGTTGAGGGCGGGTACTGTCCCCAACACACTGCTTTGGCCTCTGCTTCTACTTAAAACGGGAGGCATTTAGCTGTCCCCGCTAGTGTCAATCGGCTGGCACTAGTCCTATTGGTCAGTGGCTAGGGGATAAGCTCTCGGAAGTCTCCGCTTTTGGGAAAGCCGACTGTGGGGCTTCAGTTTGCGTATAGGCCCG